TGAATGACATTTCAATAATTTTAAGGAGATATGCATGGGAAAGGAATTTGTACTGCTAGAGTTGTTACCAAAGTGGCCTTCAGGCTCACAGTTTTCTTCTTTTTACACATAATTGTTGTTGTTCTTAGTTGTGAAATCATGTCTGACCCATCGCGACCTCATGGACAATGTTTCTCCAGGTCTTCTTGTCCTCTACCATCCCCCAGAGTCCATTTAACCTCACGCGACTGCATCAGTGACTCCATCCAGCCACCTCATTCTCTGTCATCTCCTTCTTTTATTGCCCTCAATCTTTCCCAGCATTAGGCTCTTCTCCAGCGAGACCATTCTTCTCATTAGGTGGCCAAAGTATTTGAGTTTCATCTTCAGGATCTGGCTTTCTAAAGAGCAGTCAGGATTGATTTCCTCTAGGACTGATTGGTTTCATTGCCTTGCAGTCCAAGGGACTCGCAGGAGTCTTCTCTAGCAGCATAGTTCAAAGGCTTCAATTCTTTGGCGTTCAGCCTTTTCCCTACTTTCTTCAATTTAAGCCTAAATATTGCAATGAGAAGCTCATGATCTGAGTCAGTGGTCACCAACCGGTGGGCTGCAGCCCACTGGTGGGCCGTGAGAAAATTTTGGTGGGCCGCAGAGAAATCTCATCCCCAGATCACCCACCCCCCAAAGCAATTAATCCAGGGTGCGCAGAAACACAAGGCTGTGCCGCCCACATGGCCCGCGGGAACCCTCCCGCCCACTCACTCCTTACCCAGCAAACTTGCCTGCTAAATTGCTATTTTTCCTTTTTCTGACCATCATCTGTTCTGCTGTGCCGGGAGATTTAGATTAGCTAGGAAGCAGGAAATGGTTGGATTTCTTGCTTTCTAACTAGTCTTTAGATCTTCAGCTCTGCCTTTAAGCACAGCCGAACCTCCCTTAGGAGTGAAGGTTCTATTATTCGGTGCAGACTCATGGCAAGCAAATTTGAGAGACTGAGCTAGCCAATGGCAGATAGATAGATCACTGAATGATTCTGTGAGCAACTCAATCTGCCTGCCTGCTTTGCCTGATTTTGGGTAAAAGTTGCTCTTTTTTTATAAAAAAATTCAGTATTTATATAAATATTTATAATATTTACATACAAGCCATGCCCAGCCAGTCACATGACCACCAAGCCACACCCACAAATTAGGCCATGCCCACAGAACCAGTTAGTGGTCCCTGGGATATAAAATTATGAGTTTGGTGGTCCCTGAGGTCCAAAAGGTTGGCGACCCCTGATCTGAGTCACAGTCAGCTCCTGGTCTTGTTTTTACTGACAGTATAGAGCTTCTACATCTTTGGCTGCAGAGCACATAGTCAATCTGATTTCTGTGTTGACTGTCTGGTGATGTCCATGTGTAGAGCCATCTCTTGGGTTGTTGGAAAAGAGTGTTTGCTGTGACCATCATAATAATTTATGTTTAATTTATGTATAGATTAATTTACACATAATAGGTCACCATAAAATGGAAGTGCTGGGTCTGCGCGGTCACTGTTTCCCAAAGGTTTTGTGCCCTATTTTTGTTGAGAGGAAAACTCTCACCTTAGATATTATGACACAATTCAATGCAAGGACAAGGGAAAGTACCTCTGTTTCCAGATAAACCCTTTACAGTGCTTGTTTTAAGTACTTTTGGTAGTTTCGTGGATTCATTTAGACATGTTTCTTATACATTTTTTTTCCATTTTGAGGCTTTTCTAAACTGAAGACTCTTAAACTCTAAAAATCTTTGTGTGGTGCTGTAAAATAATCTGAATTGCAAAATAGCTTTTAAAGGGGAAAATGTAAGGTATTTCATTCAAGGAAAAAAGAATTAGGACATATGTACAAGATACAGCACTCGTTGCTTGAAAACACTACATATGAGAAAACTTTGCTGTGAACATTGACACAAACTGAGCATAAATCAGCAATGTAAGACAGCTACAAGAACAGATCAATCAATTTTTTTATTATAGTCACAGACCAGATTTAAAAACTAAAACATTAAAATAATAAAATAAAATAAAATAAAAAATAGAGCAGAACAAGAATTAATAGTACATTATAGTTAGTGGTGAGATCATCGATAGATGGCCAAATCTGCCTAATTTTACAGACAGTAGAGCAGAATTTAGCTATATTCAAAGAAGCTATATCATGCTGATCTGATAGTAATAGCTGTAAATAAAAGAGAACAGAATTTCCTGCATATTTTACCAGGTAAGAAGTTATAAAATGAGTCCATGAATCCTTATAAAGGGAACAATATCATAGGATATGAGCTGTGGGACTTCCAGTTTGATGTCACAGTGGGAGGTGACTGGATTTCAAAAAGAAATGGTGCTGATGCTTCAAAGTATTTATGATATGTTGACAAAGAATCACAGGGAGATAAAACACTTAATGCGGGGCATTCTGATGAAATCAGAAATGATCAACAAGGGACAACAAATAAAGATCAGAAAATGCAGGAAACAGAGGAAATAAAAGAAAGGCCAGAAGAAAAAACAGATCAGATAAAGCAATAAGAACAAGAAGAGAAGGAGAAGACAATGAAGACTTATGAACCAAATCAGGGACAATATATATTAAGACATCAAAAAATGGGATTGGACAAAAAGAAATACACTTTTTTAAAGAGAAGATAGGGGCTTGGGCAGACCCAAGGGAAGAGTTTGGGAGACAAGCCAAAAAATGAACAAGAATTGAAATACTAATACGAACAAGAGATGATGGTTAGAAAGGGAATGCTGTTTAATATAAGATTGGTTTTTATTGAAAGCTAGAATTAGAGGTAGAAATAAGATTAAGGGGAAATATTATTATATAATATGCTAAAAGTAATAGCTAGATGTAAAGATTAGATGTTGCAAGATGGTATCATTATGAATATCTAAATAATATTGTGATTGTTATTAGAATGGCATACCAAAACACTGAACAACTAAACAATGAAGGAACATATTCTAATACAAATATGTATAATTACACCATAATTACATAAGTATGATTAATATAACAAATATTATTAATATTTAGAGGTAGATACAAGATTCAGGGGGAATATTATTATATATATTTTTATATAACATACTAAAAGTAACAGCTAGACATAAAGATTAGATGTTGAAAGATAGTATTATTATGTACACTTAAACAATATTGTGATTGTTATTAGAATGGTGCATAAAATACTGAACAATTAAACAATGATATAATAAGTATAATAACACCATAACTACACAAGTATAATTAATGTAACAAATATTATTACTATTATTATTTATGATACCCAGATACCTCACTCTTTATATAATGATTTTGATTTATATTTAAAAATAAAATAAAAAATACATAAAAAAGAATATAAGCTGTGGTTTCAATGGACCCTTGTCCAAAGGGGACTTTTTTGTATCGGTCCTCCAGAACTGCTGTGAGGAGAGCATTACAATGTGCTAGAATTAGTGCCATTCAAAATTTACAGTTATATAAAATAGATGGCAGGGCTGTCTCTGATCAATTCCTAGGAAAGAAAACCCTGGACTCCGTAGATTCAGAGACAAGATACTTTTACTAAGAAAGAACTGAAGGTCTGAAGAAAACAGCGTGAAAAAGATAAACTGAAAATCACTCCAGAGCCCAGCGTCAACCCCCCAGTAGTTCTTCAGACGGAATCCAACTATTGGCCAGGAAGATGTTGGGAACATCTCTGGTCCAAGTGCTCTGCATTGCCCTCATATATGACATTGTCAGAATGGCTGGCCTTGAAGATTTTAAACAACCCAAGCTGACCTCTCTGAGTCCAATCCTTCCATCGGTTGTCAGCAGTTCCACTCTCATACCACCTGCACGCTTCCTTTCCCAAATGCCCATTGCTCACTGTCTCCCCATTTCCATGGCAGCTGGCAGCAAGCTTGAAGGAAAGTAATGAGGGCCAGGTTGAGAAAAGATATCTTGCTGGTTTATGAAGCAGGTTTCAAACTACACCTAAAGTACTCTCTTTAATCAGCTGTTTGATAGTGTCTACAACATGGGTCTCCTATCTTTAGAGTTGATGATCAGATCTGATATTTTGAGATCATGTTACAAATAATCTCAAAATAGTTGATATGATTGTGGACAATGGTGGGATTCAATTTTTTTTTACTAACAGTTCTGTGGGCGTAGCTTGGTGAGCGTAGCATGGCTTGATAGGTGTGGTGTGGCTTGGTGGGTGTGGCTTGGTGGGCATGGCAGGGGAAGGATACTGCAAAATCCCCATTCCTTCCCCACTCCTGGGGGAAGGTTACTGCAAAATCCCATTCCCCCCCCCACCCCATTAACCTGCTTTCCAGCTCCGTTCTCCTATGCAGGGCAACAAAAGACCCAGACGATCAGCTGGGACTCTGGAGGCAGAGAATAGATGGGGGCAGGGCCAGTCAGGTGGTATTTGCCGGTTCTCTGAACTATTCAAAATTTCTGCTACTGGTTCTCCAGCACTGGTCAGAACCTGCTGAATACCATCTCTGATTGTGGACACTCACATAAAACATTGCTTTCCAGACTCAAATTTTATAGCATGCTGGCTTCCCATTTAATGTTTCTAAATTTAAAAATGCTATTTGTTCTTTTAAAAAATGAAATAGATGATTATTTCTAATAGTATGACAGGTGGTCTCTGTGAGCACCACACCGAGTACTCCTAATGTTAGAAGTTCTTCCTCTGACTATTCTCAAAATTGATATAGAATAGTTTCGGGAAATAGACAAAGAAGGAAATGAATTAATATAGAACTGGAAACAAAGACCTTCCAAAAATCCTCAAACAACCTAAGTGTATTTACATTTATGGGTTAAAAGACTCAACACTGGGAAAGTGTAATTTCTGGAGTTAGGGTTCTTATAGAGTGGAATGGAGGTTGGAACTGCATTCATTTGAGTCATACTTCTACTCACTATTGTTCTAGACCCTTTCACAGTCCTTCTGGACTTATGATTTTTCTGGGTCTTTCTTTAGCTTGCTGCACAGGTCCTAGAGGAGAAAGGCATTGCTTTTGGATTACTGGATTCTAAGAAAGATGCAAAGCTTGCAAAAAAACTAGGTAAGTATGATCCACTTTTCATTCTTCAAAGGTGGTGAGAAATTCCAGCACCATGTTTTCATGACCCAAACCAAGCCAGTGTTTGCAGGATAGCCAGCATTGTGCTTACTATATTTTATGCATTTCTGTTAACTTAGGAACTGCAGGCTTAAAATATAAGTGTACCAATGAAGCCAGTGTGATTGTGGCACAAGCTTTTGCTCTAAAACACTGGCTGAATTCAAACTTACTTATGCAAAAAAATTAGTTCTGATTATACAGCAGCAACAAATCTACTTTTTCACTGCAACCATCTAGATGATCACTAAATGTCAGCAAAGAGATGTCTGCTTATCTAACTGCTTCTTTCTAGTGGCCATCTGGATTTGCACTCCAGATCTTATTCAGCAATACTATGTATTCTATGAGTAAGTTTTTTCAGAACCCAAAGTGAGTTAAAATATTTAATTGTATCTTATGTAGGAAAAATAACTTGTGTTATCCTTCACTCACACTGCAGCACTGATCTGTATATGTATTTATTTGCATTTTTGTCATCTTTCTAGGTTTGGATGAAGAAGGAAGCCTATACGTCTTTAAGGAGGATCATGTAATAGAGTTTGATGGGCAAATGTCAGCAGATGTCTTGGTTGAATTCCTATTGGATGTAGGTTCATCCTGTTTTCCAGTAGAAATAATATATTATCATTAATTCTAGTTACAGGGATGTTCTTTTGCCAAGGAACACAAATAATATAGTGGAATGCAAATCATATATTTTAAGTTAAAGAAACAAACATTATTTCCATTCAAAACTAATGCTATCTATTATAAAGAATAATTCTCAAAGTACTACTTTTAGATGGGCCCAACCTAATTTTACCAATAAATTCATGAGGAAGATCAACTTCAGCCTCTCGATTTCATTTGTTTAAAACAGAAGTTCTAGCATTTCAATTTTTCAAGGATTCAGTATTTCAAGGATTGTCCATTCCAGTAGAGTCTATTTTTATAGATTCCCCAAATGAATAGTCAAGCCCACTTTTTAAATGACAAAATTACCTTCTGGCAAAAATTGCCTCCTCTTTAAAGCATACAAAATATTGAGGGTCAGCTTAGTCACGTAGATTTATCTGTGAATATATAAGGTACAAACCATCTGAGCCACTGACCCTCATTATGCTATGATAGTGACGTTTTTTTTTAAGTTTCTGTGACAGAAACAGTCATGTGACATAAACACTGAGCTACAATTTTCGATGATTGTCCTTGGATTCAGCATGACGTTTTCCATAACTGCCTTTGTATTAAGTTGTTCTTGTCAAAATTCTTTCTTCCTGACAGCTGATGGAAGATCCTGTAGAGATCATCAACAACAAACTGGAACTTCAAGCCTTTGACCACATGGAGGAGGAGATCAAACTTATTGGCTACTTCAAAGGAGAAGATTCAGAACGTGTGTTCTAAGTCATGATGAATTTTTTTTTCAAATTTTATTAATTTTTAAAGACATACAAAACATAGATACACAAAAACACAAAACATAAAAGCATAAAAAATCTCTTTTCTAAAAGTTGCTTAGTCCCGGGTTATAACTCTTGGTACAGACACAAATTCAAATTCATATTCATTTTACATACCATTTCATATCTTATTAACATTTTCAATTTTCTATATAACTTCTCCTCACTTCTAAATTTTCTCAATTTTATTTTATTGATCTCCTCTCAATTCGAGTCATAATATTTATTATTCTTTGTCTGTTCTATTTCCAACCATCCATTTATTTTTCTTCTTTAAAAAAGAAGAAAAACTTCTCCTGTACACTAAATGGAGTATGATGCCTTTATCTCCTTCCCCTATATTTATAATACTTAATATAAAACACATAACTTACATTGGGATTCTGTCTGGTACATTCTAAAATTATACTATATTATCAAAAATAATACAAATCTATTCATTAATATTGATATTCATTTATATCTTAAACATCTAACACATTACTTTTCAGTTAGATCACATACTTTTATAGTTATTCCTCCCCCACCTCACATATTATAGCTCATTATTTCATTACGATGTTCCTCCTTCTTCTACTTCAAATCTCTCATTTCACAAAAAAATTCGCTAATATACCATAATCTAATCATTAATATTAACAATCATGTATATCTTAAACATTTTATCCATTTCAATTAAATATCATGCCTTTGTGGGAACACTTATGCTTTCCAAAGACCAGTCATGATGAAATCTGAAGGGACCTGGAAAGCAATATCATTTTTTTTCTGTGGTTGAAATGAATTGATATGTTTCTTAAAACATGTGTACATTCTTTACAACATGCGCTGTGTGTAGCCCTGCGTAGAATAGTTTAGATCAGTGGTGGGATTCAAACTTTTTTACTACCGGTTCTGTGGGCGTGGCTTGGTGGGCGTGGCAGGGGAAGGAGGCTGTGAACTCTCCAATCGGAGGTGGTAGTTGCCGGTTCTCCAAACTACTCAAAATTTCCGCTACCGGTTCTCCAGAACTGGTCAGAACCTGCTGAATACCCACCTCTGGTATAGATGTTCAAAGTAGGTATGTATTTTCTGTCCTTTTCCAATCCTCAACACACTCATCCAAGATTTGAACGGCTCCTTGCATTACAAGGCAATGTGCTATGTTACATCTACAGGTAGTCCTCGACTTACAACAGTTTGTTTAGTGACTGTTTAAAGTTACAATGGCACTGAAAAATGTGACATGCCCGTTTTTCACAGTTACGACCTTTGCAGCATCCCCATGATGATGTGATCAAAGTTCAGGTGGTTGGCAACTGGTTCATACTTAAGACTATAGCTGTATCCCGGGGTCATGTGATCACCTTTTGCAACCTTCTGACAAGGAAAGTCAAGGAGGAAGCCAGATTCACTTAACAACCAAGTTGCTAACTTATTAACTGCAGTGATTCACTTAACAATGGTGGCAAGAAAAGTTGTAAAATGGGGCAAAACTCACTTCACAAATGCCTCACTTAACAACATAATTTTTTTCCGCTCAATTGTGATCATGTTGAGGACTACATGTACTCCAATCTTATTTAGGTCTCTGACACTGTGATTCTGTATACACTGAATTAGAAATGAGGTACTTTCTGTGTGGCAATATTAAAAAAAAAACCATACTGAAGTGTGATCCTCTCCACTAGATTGGAAATGCAATTTAAGTTTTTTGGTTTTTTTTAAAAAAGGGAACCCAAAGCAGAATGACTCAGGGACCCACTAGATGAAAGATACTGACTGAGCAGGAGCTTTGGAGAATAAGTCAACCCCCCATTTCTCATTGGCAGCCTCCTGTGTACCAGAAGACAACTATCATGTGACCCCTAATTCTTCTCTTCATTAGGCTAGGCATACCTAGATCCCTTAGCTGTGGAATTTATCCTGCAGTCCCTTATCACCTTAGTTGCTCTTCCCTGCACTTTTGCCCCTGGTCTCAACTTCTTTCTTGTATCATGGTGGCCAGAATTGGATGCAGTATTCCAAGTGTGGCCTCATTAGTACAATATAACTTCATTCAATAAAATCCTTGAACTAAGAGATTAATCATAGAAACTTATAGCAAAGAACATATGATATTACTGTAATTTATTTTTCCTACCCTTTATTTAAATTTATAATGCTTTTTCACCACATAAAATATGTATATGAGATTGTTTGGTCTAGTGGTTAAGACACCAGACTTGAAACCAGGAGACCATGATTTCTATCTAGTCCCATCTTAGCCTTGAAAGCCAGCTGGGTGACTTGGACCAGTCTCCTTCAACCCAACTCATCTCACAGGGCTATTGTAGAGAAAATAGGAGATGGAAAGTGTGTTGGATATGTTTGCTGTCTTGGGTTATTTATAAAAATAATAAATAAATCAATTTAGTATCCTATCTTCAGCCACTATAGTCCTGATGTATGAAAAATTATCCCAAAGCTCCATTAACTATTCACTCAAATATTCACCCAAATATTTTGAGGCCTGTATTACTTATAATAAACCATTTTGATATGATTTACCTGTACATAATATTTTTGACAATATTTCACAATGAGTGATGGCTAGTGTATGGGCTAGAGTGATACCAAATATTGTATTGATCTTAATTTAAACAAATAAAATGTCATTCTTTTTCCTTTTTCCTCCTTCTCAGATTACAAAGCATTTGAAGAGGCAGCTGAACACTTCCAGCCTTATGTCAGGTTCTTTGCCACATTTGACAAAGGGGTAAGGACACAAAGATTCCCATGCTGATCTGGTGATTGAGAAAGTGGTAGTCTTCAAGCTCTAGGTGCATTGTATGATTCTGATTATTTAGAACCATTTCAGTCAGCCTTATAGCTAGAATAAGGTACTTTTTTGGTTGTTTTGGTAGATGGACTATGCCAGAAATTGAATTATGGTGAGGAGAAAGAACATAACTATTCTGGTTCAACTGGACCTCTTGGCATATTTCGTATGTGTCCTTTTCTGTTCCCAGATTTTCATTGTTTTTGTGCAATCATACTGACTTTGTCTGCTATCTTCTTCTTTTCCTCACTGGAATTATTTACAGCTGTTTTTTAACATTTCTTTCTCTAGGAAGTCTCACCCATTTCTTTTTTCCTCTGAAACTCTCTTCCATGAAATACATCTTATTGCTGAGTTCATTAAAACTAAGGGGAGGGGAGCTACATAACCAAGGGTTATGTTTGATTATAACTTCAGCCATATATGGTCACTGTGAGTTCTAGTTCCACCTTAGGCATGAAAGCTAGCTGGGCCAGTCATTCTTTTTCAGCCCAACCTATCTCATAGCGTTTTTGTTGTGGAGAAAATTGAAGAAAAATATATTATGTATGTTCACCACCAAACTTATTTCCTGAAGTTAGGCTGCTATTGTAGCATCATGCTTTTAGAAATACTATTTCTAGTGTCATAGAATATAAAGTTTCTTAACAAAATATATAAAAAAACCTTATGCTTGTTTGTTTATAAGATACAAATTATAAGTTGAGCATTATATGCTAGTGCAACTATATTTTTACTTTCTAACTTTCAAAACAGCTTTGTTGATGACATGGAATTTAAACTTAAAAATCACATGAAATACGTTTAACATTTGAAAAATATTCATATAATATTGATCAATAATATCAATAATCAATATTGTCAAGACAAGAAACAATGGATGAAAACTAAGCTAGGAGAGAATCAACCTAGAAATAAGGAGAAATTTCCTGAGAGCGGAAAACAATTATTCAGTGGAAGCCTTCAAAAGTTATGGTGCTCCATCATTGGAGGTTTTTAAGAAGAGATTGGACAGACCTTTGTCTGAAGTGTTATGGGGTCTCCTGTTTGAGTAGAGAGTTGGCTCCTGTTTGACTAGAGCAGTGGTCGCCAACTGGTGAGCCGTGAGAAAATTTGGTGGGCCGCAGAGAAATCTCCCCCCACCAGAGCCCCCCCCACAAATCCAGGCTGCGCAGAAACACACAGCTGCACCGCCCACATGGCCCGCGGGAACCCTACCCACCCACTCACTCCTTACCCGGCAAAGTTGCCTGCTAAATTGCTATTTTTCCTTTTTCTGACCATCATCTGTTCTGCTGTGCCGGGAGATTTAGATTAGCTAGGAAGCAGGAAATGGTTGGATTTCTTGCTTTCTAACTAGTCTTTAGTTCTTCAGCTCTGTCTTTAAGCACAGCTGAACCTCCCTTAGGAGTGAAGGTTCTATTATTCGGTGCAGACTCATGGCAAGCAAATTTGAGAGACTGAGCTAGCCAATGGCAGATAGATAGATCACTGAATGATTCTGTGAGCAACTCAATCTGCCTGCCTGCCTTGCCTGATTTTGGGTAAAAGTTGCTCTTTTTTTATAAAAAAATTCAATATTTATACAAATATTTATAATATTTACATACAAGCCATGCCCAGCCAGTCACATGACCACCAAGCCATACCCACAAATTAGGCCATTGTCAGGTGGTGCTCCATTCAAAATTCAAGAAAGAAATACTTAGACTCCTTAGATTAGAGAAAAGATATATTTTACTGAATTTGAAGTGGTAGCAACCATAGAATTCTGAATCTGAGAAATTAGGCTCGCAAATCACATATACAAAGTGATGGAAATGTTCCCACCCCCAATAGTTCAAATGATTCTTCCAATTAAAAGTTGTGAATATGATCATGTGGACATCTTCAGGTGGTGATGAGGCCTCTGTCCGTTGACCTTGGCATATTTTGATAAAGGTTTGCAGCTGCGCAGAGAAAAGAAAGCTAAGCGAGAAATAGAAACCTAAGCAGGAATTTATACTCCCCCCTCCTCATTTTATACAACACTAGAATGTAACACCTCCAGCTCACTTCCCAGACTTTACCCCCTCCTTCCCCCATTACTTATGGCAGCCAAAAGATGCAAAGCAATAGTAGAAGATCTTGAAGGCTGACATCCATGTCCACAGAACCGGTTAGTGGTCCCTGGGATTTAAAATTATGAGTTTGGTGGTCCCTGAGGTCCAAAAGGTTGGTGACCCCTGGACTAGAGGATCTCCAAGGTCCCTTCCAACTCTGTTATGCTGTTTTATGATGTATTCTAAGTATTTAAAATGTATTTTTCAGAAATAGAAATTACTATTGTAAGTCTACAATATACCATACTTTTCAACAAAATAAATTACAATAATTTATCTATGTAACATTTCCCATTTCTAATAGGTGGCCAAGAAATTGGGCCTAAAGCTAAATGAGGTGGATTTCTATGAACCATTTATGGATGATCCCATCCATGTTCCTGACAAGCCATATACTGAAGAAGAATTGGTTGAGTTTGTAAATGAACACAAAAGGTACAGAGAATGGCATAAGGATCATTTCGCCTACATTTTTATCAATTATCTATCTATCTATCTATCTGCCTGCCTGTCTGCCTGCCTGCCTGCCTGCCTGCCTGCCTATCTATTTTATATAGCTGCCTACTCGCTCACAGCGACTCTAGATGGCTACAAACAATAAAACACAATATAGAAAAAAAAAACAATAACCCCCTGCCTGATAACAACATAGTCAAATAAGTCATTTGATGGGCTGGGCTCTATCCCACTCTGGGTTCCCCAGGCCTGCTGGTAAAACCAAATCTTCAGGGCCTTACGAAAGAGTGTCAAAGTTGAGGCCAGTCTAATTTCTGAAGAATGCTATTCCAAAGAGAGGGAGCCACCATTGAGAAAGTACTTCTTCTGGGTCCCACTAGTCGTACCTTCTTAGAGGATGGAACCCGCAACATTCCTCACCTGCCTGCTCTAGTGAGTTGGGTGGATGTAACTGGCAAGACGTGGTCCCTCAGATAACCTGGTCTCAAGCCATGTAGGGCTTCAAAGTTGACATCCAGCACCTTGAATTGCACTCGGAAGCAAATCGGTAACCAATGCAGCTCCTGCAGGAGAGGCAACACGTGTTCACACCGGTCTGCACAAAACATGCATGTCAAATTCAAATGCTAATAATTGAAAAACAGTGAATTTATATTTTTTTCCCCTCCTGAGCTTGGTAGTTATTATATCTCTAATGGCTAGTGTTTTGTAAGCTTCATTTTGTCATGTTCTCCCTAAACCTGGAGAAAGTTAACATACATTTGGTAACTGAAAAGGAGGATCTAATGGTTGGATGCTTTCAACGTTTCTATCTATCTGTGAAAAGTACAAAACAGTGGAGGTCTATTAAGCGATGGTGGGATTTGAATAACTTAACAACCGGTTCTCTGGCTGGGTAGGCGTGGCGGTTGGTTATGTGACTGGGTGGGTGCCATCACACATCACACCCAGCCCCGCCTCCCGGCCACTTGCCTCAATGGCAGAAATAGAATTCAGTAGAAATAGAATCCCACCACTGGCCCCTCCCCCAGCCATTTTTGGGGCTGTGTTCAGGTGTTTTGGGGCCATTTTCAGACCATTTTTCGGGCTGTTTTTTGCCCCCAAACTGGCAAAAATGACCTGAAAACGGCCCCAAAATGGCCTGAAAATGGCAAAAACTGGCCCCAAAACTGGCCCAAAACATGGCATTTTGGGGGGCATTTTTCAGGGCATTTTCAGGCCATTTTTCAGGCTGTTTTCAGGCCATTTTTTGCCCCCAAAAGGCCCAAAAAGCAGCCCGGAAAACAGGCCAAAAAATGAGCGGGGGCGTGGCCAGTCAGTGGTGAGATTTACCAGTTCCCTGAACTTGCAGAATTAACTACCGGTTCATGCGAACCAGTGTGAACCTACAGCAGCCCACCTCTGCTATTAAGTAGTACAAAAAGCCTTCACCTCACAACACTCTAATCTGTAGGGCTTTGTCTACATTCCCTACTGTATTCATTTTATTGTTTATTTGAATGTCCAGTTCACATAAAGATTTTGCTATTCTCTTAGGAATAGAATCTGTTCTACCTACATGGGTAGCAAAGAAAACAAGGAGGGAAAAGGGTATATAATACCATGAGCCTGACACACTGCTGTTGTTCATGTAAATACCATCTGTTGATGCTTTTCTCTGAACATCCTCCAGTCCTTGTGTTTTTGTTGAAGAGTGACTGTAATGTTTTATGGAACTGGTTTCTCATCTGCCAGTTATGCTTTCTGAATCTGTCTTCCCTACACTTATGAATTGAAATAGAATTGAATGGAACTGAAAGCCATTTGTTTCCCTTTCAGAGCCACATTGCGCAAGTTGCAGCCTGAAGACATGTTTGAGATCTGGGTAAGGGATGGAAGTTGTAAACCTTATTTAATATTCACATGAAAAAGGCCCTGGTTTGGTTTGAAAAGCTAAAATAGGGTCCTGCAGGCCTTTGTAGGTTGGATGTGTGATTATTCATGCAATAGCCATTTATGCTCATCCAAACTGATGTTTCAACTGTTACAATGTCAACACAGATGAGTAGTCTTGAAAATGATCGAGAAATTTCATTTGGCTCAAATAATGCCAGCAAACAGTAAATGAGATCATATTATGCTAGTGCTTTGCCCTTTCAAGACAAAATTCAAAGCAATAGTCCAAATCTATGAAGCCATAGGGAACCTGGTACAGGGTATCAAAAAGGGTATCTGTTCCTACCTATCTTATCATTGGATTGCTGAAATGGGCCATGAGAATAACCTTGAGGAACGAGGATAAAGAGCTATAGCTAAAGCAAGGGTCAGACAGAGAAATCTGAGTCCAAAGGAGGATTGGAATTTGAGAAAGTGTCTCAGACTTGACTGTTCCTAATTCTCTTCAGGATAAATGGAAGAAACAGGATTGCAAGATTCTGTTATTGTAGCAGTAACAGAATATTTTAGTATTCATAACTTAGGTGTTCAAGTCTGTCTACCCTGAAAGGCTGACAGTTGCTTTCTGAAGTCTTTCTCTGGCCAAATGAGTTAAGAAAGATGGCCAGAAGAGAAAAGGGTCTTTTCAGTTGGGCCACCTTGCTTTGCCTGTTATTTTATATTTTTTATAGTTGGAAGGATTTTAAATCTAGAAAGAGCTAAGGATGGTTTTTCATTTATTATGATGCAATTAAAAGAGAACATAGAAAGCTGTTCTGTATCCATATTCTTCCTGCCCTTCACTTCTCATCCCATTCAGGTGTCAGTCTGTTTGCCCAACTCAGAAAGATAGATTAAAATTTATTTATTTATGTACACAAGTAAGGAGAGTCACCCTACCCAAAAGAGGAGAAGATTTGGAATGGTTCTTTCATTTGTTAACATTATTTGACACATCTCTGATGGAGCATGCATGCTCAGTTTAGTTTAGTATGTAATATGTAGCATTCCATAGGTCCCATTATACTCTTGGTATGATCTTGTTAATCATATTCTCAACTTCATATTCAGGAACATTATAATGTTCAAGCCCGCTGTGTCCTTGACAGGTTTAAACCAGTTTTCATATTAGGCACAGGTGTGGGATTCTACCAGTTCGCACCTATTCACTAGAACCGATTGTTAACATTCTAAGCAGTTCAGAGAACGGTTGTTAGAAGAAATTACTGGCCTAATCCTGTAAGGAAGGCAGGAAGGAAACATTCTGGTGTTGTTTACAGAAACTGCCTCTCCGTTAACCCTGATTACATTCTTGGCAGGACTAGACTTCCTGTCTCAGGAACTTCTCTGGAGTTTTTTTTCCTTCCTTTGCTGGTACTTTGCTTGTGTGGAATGACCATTTAAAGTTACAATGGCACTGAAAAAAGTGACTTATGACCATTTTTCACACTTAAAACTGTTGCAGCATCCCCACAGTCTTGAGAGGCCAGGCAAGGAGATGTGTGCCTCGATGTGAGTGATATTGAGTTGGCCACATCCAGCCAATAACATGACCACCAAGCCATGTCCACCCAGTCACATGACCACCAAGCCACACCCACCACCTAAGCCATGCCCACAGAACTGGTTGTTAAAAAATTTGAATCCCACCCCTGATTAGGCAGTACATAGCTTCCTTTGCTCCTTCAAGAAGTAGAAACATTAATCAAAAATAAAAATTAATCAAATCTTTAGTTACTAAACTAGTTACTAAAAACATTAATCAAAGAGGTTTCCCTCTGTCATCACAGATACAACTTTTAGCAGTGGGATCTGAAGGAAGTAGGAGGAGTTTAGCAGCGCTAAACCTTTAAGCACACTTCAGACCTGAGATAGAATAGAATAGAGCTGAAAAGATTCCTCCTTTTCCAAACCCAGCGTCTTTTGTCTCTTAAAAAACATGCTTTGCCTGTAGAAATTCCCAAGTCATCCCTTTATATCTCTAATTATAACTCTGTTTGAGACTTAAACCATTCTAACAGACAGCACTGAATCCAGGCCCTGATCTTCTGTGTCTCTTAGCTCCTAAAAGCTGAGGAGAAAAAAAAAGCTGTTTCAAGCCCAAACTTTGTGAGTCAGTTGTAGAGAGAGTCAGTCTGAGGCTCCAGCCACACATCTGATTTGTGCTGTTTAGGAACTGGATCTGTGGTCTTGTGTTGTTCCTAGAATGCCAGGATCCTTGTGATGATGATCATCATCATTTTGCATTTCTTCCCAAGCTCACATCTCCTTACTCTTTGACTTTCTCCTAGGAGAATGTAGCTAGACTAACGACAGGCTTTGCCTATTGCTAAAATGCATTGTAACTTTTATATAAGGGATAAATGTCTATGGAGATTCTGTTATCTAGGTCATGATTGTCCCAAAGGTGCTTTTTCAAAAGGCAATTGGACTTTGTTTTTCTTTATAGATGTTTTGCTTCTCATCCAAGAAGCTTCTTTAGTTCTTTAGTTCTTGAGTCGGAACTGAAGAAGCATCTTGGATGAGAAGTGAAACATCTTTAAGGAAAAACAAAGTCTAGTTGCCTCTTGAAAAAACACCTTTCGGACAAGAGATCCATCTCTGCTTTATTATAGCTACAGAACTGCTCTCCCCCCCCCGAATATTTCCATTTCCCGCAATAAATTACATGTCCCTGGCTCCTCAGTTTTCTTCTGAGGAGTTAAGGCTCAGCAGTTCCTGTCTTTAACGCATCAGATTTCTTAGAATTTCTTTTACGATGCTTTATTATCCCTCCTTCTTTGTCCCTCCTGTGGCTGATGCAAGCATTCGCCTAAGCTGGTCAGTGAGGGAATATCCTCAAAGACCCGTCCCTGAACCCTTGCTCTGCTGCGTTTGCATTGGGGTGAGGCAAAATAAAAAAAATTAAAACATTGCTGGCTACCATCCAGAAATCTAGTGTAAGGGCACCTGGGGCTCTGAGATGGCTTATTAATTGTGAGGAAGGGAGGGAGAAGTAGTACGGTTGTCAATCAGCATAGATCACATAGGGATTGGAATGGGTAGATTGACTCACTAAAACATCATTTCAAGTGCAAGTGTGCATGTCACTGTGGTAGATAGAATTTTGCTTTGTTGCAAAATAGGATAGTGTCTTGTCTACAAGCTCCAAGTTGCTTTGGCATCTTAGATCCAAAATTGAGAATTGGGACAATTTATCCAAAAGAGAATCAACTTGGAAACTCCAGCTGATTCTCTTGTGCATCGATGGAATAAAGGACTGCATGAAATGCCTTTGAACTATGATGCCTTGATACTATTTTGCCAGACTTCTTAAACTAGACAAGGACTTGCTTTTTCTCCCACCTCCAGACTACCTCAAAAATGCACAGAAGGAAAGACATGGACTGAGCACTGGTTTCTTAACCAGCTTTTATTCTTCCTCTGTTGGTTAAATCACTGGTTAGTTTTGGGGGAATATGCCGCATTACTTCTGCAATGGGGAGGATATTACCAGGGGCTGTCTGGAGGGGTCTGGTACCTTCTTTTAATTGCATAGATGGAAGGTAGAAAATCCATTTCAGAGGCCAAAACTTCCAATGGGAAAGAATAGCAGCACATTTTTTTCTTAACACAAAGAGCAGGTAGAAGTTTCATCCAAAATCATAGAGATGGCTTAATTTACCATCTCACTTGTATCTAGAATGGAAGGAGAAGATGGATCCTAGGTTGTGAGGATTTCTGTTAATACCATTCACCTAAGGTCAGGGGTGGGCTGGGCTTCAAAAAATTTAGCAACCAGTTCTCTGCCTGGTTGCTGGGTGGGGGTGACCATGATGGGTGTGGCCTAGTTGGCCTCCTGCGCCATGGTGGGGGGCGTTTTCACTCTCCCCAGGCTCCAGAAGCTTTCCTCAAGCTTCTGGGAGGGTGAAAATGGCCTCCTCAAGCTCCGGAGGCCCTCTGAAATCTGGCCTTCCGGAACTTCCGGGAGGCCCATTTTTCCCCCTCCCTGGGCTCCAGAGGCTTTCCTCGAGGGCAAAAATGGCCTCCCTGGGCTCTGGAGGCCCTCTGGAGGCTGGAAACAGCCTTCTGGAGCCTCTGGAAGACTCATTTTTCACTCCTTGAACCTCCATGCAGGCCCTGCACTTACCTGGAATCCAAAACAGGTTGTACGGAGACTCCTGGGAGGAGAGGGGTGGGGTGGGTGGGGCCAATCAGGTGTGGGATTTGCCGGTTTGCCGAACTGGCCATAAAATTAACAACTGGTTTGCCTGAACTGGGGAGAACTGGTAGCAGCCCACCCCTGCATAAGGTGTAATTTGAACTCAGTGAAGATCTGAGGTGCAAACTTTACCACTTCCAGTTAAGCAATTTTGGCTTTGCCTCAGAATATCTGGAACGGTTGTCAATCAGCACAGATCACATAGGGATTGGAATGGGTAGATTGACTCACTAAAATGTGCATGTCACTGTGGTAGATAGAATTTTGCTTTGTTGCCACTGAATTGAATAGCAGTTTATAGGGTCTGGTAAATAATTATATTCACTCTACAAAAACCTGGGGAAAAAACTTCTTCCACTGCACTGGAAAGAAGAGCTGGGTCTTTTTGTTTAATGAGTTATCGACTCTGGCATTGTGCTTGTGTTAAGACAGCTTGAGATTGAGTGGGGGAGTATGGGGAAAACAAGAAAGAAGCACAGAAGGCTATACTACCTTGGACTACTTTTGCTCCAATTTCAGTCATAAATCTACTCTAAACATCCCTCTCAGACTCTGATTCCCCAGCTGAAGCCTTGATCTTACAATCTCTCTCTCCTACCTCTCCACCAATGTTTTCCACTTATTCTTTTAATTCTTCATTTTATGGGATTCTGTCACTTTTGGACTCAGAGGGGAAAGACATTAGCATTTAGATGGATTTTTTTCCCTCTTGCATTAATACCAATTGAAATTGAAAGCTGGGATTGGCG